GCTCCTAGCTTTGGATCAACCCAGTTCTGGCCACTGCAGCCATTTGGAGAGTGAACCAGCAGATGGAAGACCCCTCTCTCTCTGTATCTGCCTCTGCCTCTGCCTCTCTGTAACTCTGCATTTCAAATAAATAAATCAATCTTGGGTGATAAAGATGGCAGAATAGGGAGGGAGCTTACTGTTCTAGTCTAATAGAGTACCTAAAAGGTAATCTATAGAAGTGAAATTGACATTTTGAGAGGCAATGACTTTGAACAGCTTTGTCTTGACTGTTGAGGAGCGGGTGTTTTTCGTGGGTTTTTTTAATATACTATTTGTTGAACTCTTTACTTAGTATAGGGTTAATCTTATGTGTATAAAGTTAATTGAAAATAGATCTTAGTAAAAAAATAAGAATGGGAATGGGGGGCAGAAGGGTGGGAGTATGGGTGGGAAGGCAGGTAGGGTGGGAAAAATCACTATGTTCTTAAATTTGTATATATGAAATGCATGACGTTTGTATACCTTGAATAAAAGGCTTCTGGAGAAAAAACAAGTAAATAATAAATCTTTATAATAATTATAAAAATGATTAATTACAACAATAATTATAACAATTATAATACAATAAATTTTAACAATCCAACAGGCTAGCTAAAATAGATACAATTAGAAGAAGCTTTTTTAATTTGTAGGCAAAATTTAAGGGGAAAATGTAAAGCAGGTGCAGAGACTGGCAAGTTGTAGCAAATGCAGCCTGTAGGCAGTTGATACATTGTTGTAAAAGGCAATGCAAGGGGAGAATGTTTTGTACAGCTGTTGAGACACTGCTTGGAAGGCCTGCAATCTCATATCAGAGTTCCTGGTTGGAGTCCACGCTCTTCCACTTCTAATCCAGCTTCCTGTTACTGCACACCATGGAGGCAACAGGTAGTGGCTGAAGCACTTGGGATCCTGGCACCCACATGGGATACCAGGATGGAGTTCCCGGCTCCCAGCTTTGGCTGGTTCCATCCTTGGCTGCTGTGAGCATTTGGAGAATGAATCAGGGCATGGACGATCTCTCTCTCCCTCTCTCTCTCTCTCTGAAATGAGAATAATATACACTATTATTTGAAAAAATAAAGTATATTCTATCCCATATTTTGCATACCCCCATTGTCTTTATTTTTAAGAATAATTTCACAAAGATTGATCTTATTATAGATGAATGACAAAAGGGATAAAGCTACCTAATATCCCACAATACTGAAAGCATTTAGAAATTAAAAATATGATCAAGATTTATATAAGGCTTTACTTATAATAGCCAAAAAATGAAAATAACCCCACTATCACCAAGTAGTGAATGAGTAAGCAGATAGTGGTGCATCCATATAATGGAGAGTTAATCAGAAATGAAAAGCATTCTGTTGACTCATACAACACAAAAATGAGCCTGGGGGCTGCTGTTGTGGCTTAGTGGTTACAGATGCTGCCTGCAACACCAGCATCCCACGTGGACACCGGTTCAAGTCCCGGGTGATCTGTTCCCAATACAGCCCCTGCTAATGTGCCTGAAAAAGCAGCAGAAGATGGTCCAAGTGCTTGGGCCCCTGCCACCTTACGTGGGAGACTCTGAAGAAACTCCTGGCTCCTGGCTTTGGCCTGGCCCAGCTTTGGCCATTATGGCCATCTGGGGAGTGACCCAGCAGAAGGAAGATCTCTCTCTGTGTCTCTCCCTCTCTCTCTGTAACTCTGCCTTTCATATAAATAAACAAATATTTTAAAAGATGAATCTAAAAATTATTATAAGTATTATTCTGAGCAAAAGAAGCCAGACAGGAATGACAACACACTGTGTGACTGCGTACATGACACTGCATAAACACCAACGAACCACAGCAACAGACCGACTGGAGGTGTCCAGCACACAGCACCAGGAATGTTATACAAGTTCACTGTGGTGGTTGTCACACAACTTATACCTTCATCAAAGTTGTTAAACTCTACTGACAAAGGGGGTAAACTGTATTTCATATAACTCATATTTCAATAAGCCAAAGTTTTTAAATCCATGCGTAATTTAAAAGTCCCATATCACATAAAATTTTAAGTACATAAGTAATTCATGCATTGAGAAAAATTCTTTATGCAACAACATTTTTTGAAATGATATTGCTATATTATAATAAATAGGGTACTCCCAAAGCAATGCTTAGATGCAGACATTTTTCTAGGTTAGTATAGAAGAAAAAACACAAAAGCAGAGCCTTTATCTGTTATGAAGAGATCAAAGAAAGCAGTAAAATGAAAATTATAAAACTAACAACATAAATGAACAAAATAAAAAGATTTTAAAATTGATTTTATAAATCAATTGGTTGACTCTTTAACTTACTAAAGTTCATGACATAACAAGGTGTTGTGCACAGAGGGTCAAGTTGCCCCTTGGGGGACCCACATCCCATATGGTGCGCCTGCGATCAAATTCCACCTCTGTTTCTGATCCAGCTTCCTGCTAAGGTGCATGGGAGGCAGCAAAAATACCTCGAGCGCTTGAGTCCCTGCCACCCAGGTAGGAATCACGATGGAGTTCCTGACTACTGGCTTCAGTCTGGCTTAGCCCTGGCTACTGCAGGCATTCGGGGAGTGAACCAGCCGATGGAAGGTCTCTCTGATTTTCAAGTAATAAAAATGAATAAGTACTTTAAAGGTAAAATTAACAAATTTACTAAAAATAGTAGAATTTGGGTGAGAAAAAGTTATTGCTAATGAATAAAAATGATTATTTTAAAGTAGAAATTATTTTCTAAATGTATTAATAGTTATCACTGTTAATACTCTATGGATAGCTACTGAAGTGTGAAATAATAAATTGAGTCATCACAAAATACAGAATACAAATAGACTCATGTACACGATGAGTCACAGAAGTAGAAACATATTAAAATTTTATGTTCTCACTCAATTGCAAAATAATAATAATTCAATTAAAAATGGTGGTAGGTCTAAGCAGACATTTCTCTAATGATGATACACAAATGGCCAGCAGGTACATGGGAAAATGTTCAGTATCACTAATCATCAAGGAAATGCAAATCAAAACCACAATGAGGGGCCAGCATTTTGATTTAGCAGGTAAAGCTGCCACCTGCAGTGCTGACACCCTATATGGGCACTGGTTCAAGTCCCAGTTGCTCCACTTCCAGTCTGGCTCCCTACTAATACACATGTGAAAGCAGTGGAGGATGGCCCAAATGCTCGGGCCCCTGCACCCGCAGGGGAGACCCACATGGAGATCTAGATGAAGCTCCTGGCTCCAGGCTTTGGCCTGACCCAGCCCCAGTTGTTGCAGCCGTTTGGAGACTGGATCAGTGATGGGAGATTCCCTCCCTCTACCTCCCTCTCTCTCTTTGTAATTCTGTCTTTCAAATAAATAAATAAATCTTTAAAAACACAAACACACACATACACACAATGAGCTATCACCTCACTCATTTGATTGGCTATTATCAAAAAGACAAAATATAACAAGTGCTGAGGAGGATGTGGATAAAAGGGTACTTTACACACTGTTGGTGGGAATGTAAAGTAGTACAGCCATTGTGGAAAACAATACAGAGGTTCCTCAAAGTACTAAAACTAGAACTGCCATATGATCCAGGAATCCTACTAGGTTTATAGCCAAGGGAGATGAAATCACTCTGTGAAAGAGATAGCTGCACTCCCATGTTTATTGCAGCACTATTCACAGCAGCCAAGAAATGGAAACAACATAGGTGTCCATCATCCAATGAGTGAATGATGGAAACATGATACACACAATGGAATATTACTCCGCCATAAAAAAGGATGAATCTTGTCATTTACAACAACATGGATGGAACTAGAGGTTATTACGTTAAGTGAAATGTGCTAACCCAGAAAGACAAGCATCACATGATCTCCCTCAAGTGGAATCTAAAAAGACAGGTGAGCTCATAGAAGTTAAGAGTACAGTGGTAGTTACTAGAGCCTGGGGAGTGAGTAGGTGGGAGAGAGGAATGGGAAAGATTGATTAATCTGCACTAAGTTATAGTTAGGAGTAAGAAGTTAACTCCTGCACAGTAGATGACTATGGGTAATGAGAATGTACTGCATATTTCTCTGACAAAGAAAAACTAGAAGAAAGGATTTTGAATGTTTTCACCAAGAAATATTAAAAGTTTCAGGCAATAGGAGCCAGCATAGTAGCATAGCTGGTACGCCACCTGCGACACTGGCATCCCATATGGGAGCCAGTTCATGTGTCAGCTGCTCCACTTCTGATCCAGCTCCCTGCTATTGGCCTGAGAAAGCAGCACAAGATGGCCCAAGTTCTTGGGCTCCTGCTACACACATGGAAGATCTGTAAGAAGCTCTTGGCTTCAGCCTGGACCAGCTCTAGCCATTGGGACTATCTGGGGAGTGAACCACAGGGTAGAAGATCTCCCTCTCTCTCTGTCTCTCCCTCTCTCTGTAACTCTGACTTTGAAATAAATCAACAAATGTTAAAAAAAAAGTTTCAGGCAATAGATATTTGCCCTGGGTGAACATTACACAAACTATACATGTTTCAAAACCATAACATAATACTCCATAAATATATACAATTTTTGTGCCAGTTAAAAATAAATAAATAAAAAGCTTATGTCTTCAAAAAACAGATGGTACTTATGAAGTCACTAAATGTTTTCTTAAATTCCCAAAAACAATTTATCTCTTTGTTGTCAACTTAAATCATTCCAAAAGACAGAGAACAGCATGTATATAGAGAACAACATTAACTCAACTCGCTTTTATGAGGTAAAGGGGACATTAATTGTAAAGCCTAAAGGTGCCAACAGAAAAACCTACATGATAGTTCAATCTCACTTCTAAACTTAAATAAACAAACTCAAAAATAACAGACAGGAGTGTGGAGGACAAACTCTGCATCGGGGGCGCTTCCAGGAGGGACACCCCAGAGGCCACAGCCAACGAACTGCTACAGCAAAGACATCAGAGATCCGACCCCCAGACTGAAGCTTCCCGCTGCAGCGATTTGGAACTGAAAAACAGAGTTTACTCAGAGTGGCTCTTCACAACGAAGACTGTCTCGCCGAAAACCTGGTTCCTGCACGCCTTTGCTTTTAACTTCTCCCCAGCACAGCTCCCTCTGTTGCCTGTCTCACCTGTAAGCCGGGGAGCACTCGTCCACAGGCTTTTAGCCCAGTCGAGTGGGCCAAAAGCTCTCCACACTGCTCAGCTTGCGCTGGTTCCGAGGTTGTTTGTTTGACTGTTTAGCCAAGGGTCGAGAGCCCCATTGAGAGGAGAGCAGCTATTTGCTCTGATGGCAAGTGGGCTTTCCAGAGTTCACTTATTGATTTTCTGTTCCTATTCTCTCTCCATGGGTAATGCCTGCTTTTAAGCAGAGATTTTTGTAAAAATGTGATATCCAACCACCTTCCTCAAGTTTATATTCAAAAGAATCTATGAGACATCTGAAAAAGTTTATGGAAAATGAAATTAAAAGATAAGTTTATTTAGGTGTAAATATTTTTGAAATCCATGCACAGCAAGGGTCTTTAAAAACTTCATAGAAGAAACTACATATGAGTTTTTGAAATATTTTGACAGTCAAATAGGTTATTTTTTAATTCCATTTTTCCATGAACATTTTGAAGTACCCTCATATGTATACCCTATATTTGGAAAAATATTTTCCAAGTCACTCAAAGTGATGTTGGATTCTTTCTTGGCTGATTTCTAATATTTCATATTCCCTGTGGCTTAGAGTCTAGTACTACCCATGGCTCCTTTTTTTACATCTTGAACAGAATGCCAAGACATTCAAAGTAAGGCCCCCGCGAGATGATGCAGTCCAGTGTCTGTGTTTCACAGAGTGGAATACTAAGGCTGGCAAAGTTCCAGCACTAAGACTTCCACTGAGTTTATTAATATTTAACTTGCATTCCGCATTTTGTCTTCCCAAGTACATGCTCCTTGCGAACAGATAACTCTACTTTAAGCTTCTTCTGTAGTTCGTTTGCTATCTATGTCTGCAGTCGATATTTCCAAGGATGGATGGCTGGAGGTGTGGGTACCTTACAGGACCTTCTGCCACAGAACATTTGCTCTAAGCTGAAAGAGGCATTCATACCCACAAAGGACACATAAGATTTTGAATACAGCAGTCAGAGAGCGCCAACGATTCCCTCCCAGAGCCACCAAGAGCCAAAATAAACCTCCTTCCTTCCTAAGTAGCTTCTCTTAGGTATCAGCTGTAGTCATCGTCCAATGGAGAAACCTGAACAAAAGAAAACTCCAGAATTAACTTTACTGCCAATAGAACATTAACCCATTGTGTCTGTGCTCACTTGCTTCCACACAGCTTTCCCAACTGACAAATGCTTTTGAATCAGGCCAATCATTGTTGCAGGTCTCCCAAGTTGGATAAATCTTTGGCAGGTACTTACTATACATTTGGGTGAAAATCATGTTTTAAACTTTTTGAAAATTGTAAGTCGACACATTAGACAAACAGTGACACAAATAACCACCCAGTTACAATTATAGTAAGGACCAGGAAAGAAAAGGGGTTAACCTGGCCCAGCCCGGGGGCTCCTGCAGGGAACGGAGCCTGGAGAACGGAGGCCAACCTTCCTGGGGTGAGTTTCAGCTCTGTCTAGAGAGTCCCCACATCACAGATAAAGGAACCAAACATTCTCTACACAAGCTAAAACAAAGTGACTTTGCCTCGCTACACTAAAGCAGTCTTTACAGTAAAAATAATAAATAATAATAATAGCTATTGTTTACTGAGTGTTTATTCACAACGTCTTGGGCCTTGGACAAAATAATGGTCTGGGAACAATGCTTTGGATTTTGTTCTATTTGCTTTTATGACAAAAGTCACACATGGTTACGTCCCTGTAAAACATTCAGGCAACACATATGTATAATATGAAGGGCCTCCAAGATCCCTTCTCTTTCTTACCCATATCCCCAATATGGGCCACATTTATGCTTAAAGTGTATTCTTCCAGTCTTTTTCAATATATGTTGTTTTTTTCTTTTACATAAATGATACCATGCTTTATTCATTGTTTTGCAACTGTGTTTTCAACTAAAAACCTTTCCCTACCTGGACGTACGCACAGTGTTCCATCAAATGGATGCACCATAAATCTCTTAGCCATCCTCCTGCTCCTGAATGCTGGCGGTGATTGTGATCCTTGTTGTGATGAACCATGCTGCATGCATGTGAGAATTAATGCAGAATGAATTCCTAGGATGGCACTGGGGGATTGATGTTTGCTTCCTCTGAACGAATAGATCAAAGTTAGCAAGATTCATCCAAACCAAATATTTCAGCAGATGGCCTCGGACCAGTCACTTTACCTCCCCTGAATGCAAGTTCCTGGGTACCCAACCTTTTTCAGAGAATGATAAGGATTCAAATGAGATAAAGCTATCAATATACTCCAGAAACTGCTATATAAATGCAGAGGATTGACAACCCAAAGATAGTGATGGATGCTTTTACATGGATTAACCACAGACATGTCTACACCATACAATCTGTAGTAGATATCTTACAGATATCCAAATACCCTTCTCCTGTTTGGGTACAATCCCCTCTTTCTTTCTATTAGGAAGTTGCTCCTCTCCAAGCTCTAACCCTGAGGTCTAACACAGGCTTCCAATTACAGTACACAGTGATGGGTCCAGGGGTGGACATACCACAAGGTCAACAAGGGAGTTTTCAAACAGAGTCCGGGAAAGAGGCTCCTCCCCCACTGGAGATGGTGCCTGACACAGCCTGCCACGGCACTGCCAGTGACCATGTCTCCAGCTGAGCTCAGGAAGCCAGTCTGAGAGATGTGGAAATGTGCACCCTGATAGCACTGCAGGTCCTGGCTCTGGTTTCTGAGCCATGGCTGCATCCAGCCTCTCCCTCAGGACACGGGGCTCCTAACACATTCCTCCTTTTGCCTCCAGCATTTGATTTGGGTAAAGACGACCTGTAAGAGCATTTGTGCAGACTCCTGCCCGTCTCTATCCACAGTTCCCTTGACAATGGCATTCACTCCTTTTCCACCCATCTGCCTACCTGCTAGGAAGCAGAAATGCTGTTCTTGGAGGAAGCGTGACTTCCTCTTGCTCTATTTATTTGAGCAAGACAGTCACACGTGTAGCCCAATGGAGAGAAACTTTTGAAAGGGCAAACAGGAGACCTGTCTGGGTATGGCAATCTCATCTGCAAATTTCTCATCACCCACAATAGCTGACTCTTAGTCATGGGGAGGCAAGGACAAAGTAAACGCTGTTAGGATGAAAATGAAAATTACTAGGAAAATATGAGGAATGATTCCTAGCAGTTAATAGTGATATTCACCATCTATTGAACACACAATATGTACCAGGCACCATGTTGATAGTCTAATATATACTAAATATAGATAAAATTTCATTTAATCGTCACAGTAGTCAGACAACCTGAGCTTTTTTTTTTTAACATAATTTAAACAGCTCAGCTGGGAACCGGATTTTTATAACTGATAGCTTTAAGCTATGGTTAAGAACTAACACATTACTATTTTCCAAACTTCAAAAACTATTTTGCACTCTAAAAACTGAAATTGTCTTTGCAAAATGAGGGCCACCATGGCCTTTTCTAGAAGAGAATGTGTCTTTTTAGAGAAGCAGCACTGGCCCTGGATTTTCTGCTGCCTTTGCCATTAGAGCATGTTTAAATATAGTCTAAAAAGAACTCAGAAGGTTTGTACCTGTCGCGTCTTTGACCTCTTCTTTTCTTCAAATGTACTCGAGGGCTGGCTCCGCCAACACCGAGAAAGGCCTTGTCACTTCCATGCTAAGACTCTTGAGTTGTTTTTAGCAAAAATAACGTCAAACAGCAGCAGC